GACAAAGCAACAACGACTTAGTGGACACCGGTGGATCAGCGTCATCGACTTTGCAGCGGGATTCTACGCAATACCGGTAGACGAGGAAACCCAGCCATACTTAGCATTCTATATGGAAGGTCGAGGATATGACTGCTATTGTCGAATGCTGTTCGGACTAACAGGTGCACCTACGAACTTCGGGGACATGGCCGCTATCGCATTAAGAGATTTGATTGGGTTGTTGTTTGAGCTCTATGTTGATGATACGGGGATGGCAGGTGACATATTCGAAGAAAAACTAACACACTTACGAAGATTTTTCGAACAAGTCAGAACCATGCATCTATCGTTATCGCCATCCAAGACGCAGTTATTTATGACTGAGATTGTCTTTGCAGGCGCAAGAGTAGGAAGAGATAGGATAAAGCCGGATGTTGCCAAGCTTTCGGCTGTCGTAAATTGGGATATACCCAATACCATTCACAATCTCATGCAATTCCTCGGACTAACCGGTGATTTTAGATCGTTAATCAAAGACTACGCCAGGAAAGCAGCACCTCTTACAGATCTAGTACAATGGTTAGGCACTCCCCCAGGAGGACAACACGTAGGACAATATAAGTACAGGCAGCATCTACGAATGACCCAGCTCAAACCGCACTGGGGACCTAGACATACTGAAACATTCTTAGAACTTGAGAAAATTTTAGTAGGTGAACCCGTTCTGAAAGGACCGCGCTTCGACGGTACGCCCTTCATCGTAACTACGGATGGCTGTCAAGAAGGATTCGGTGCAATATTGGCCCAGAAACATACCTCAATGCTCCCATCAGGAAAAGTGGTCACTGCGACCCATCCAATCGCGTTTGCGTCAAAACGAACCTCGGCCGCAGAAGAGAAGTACAAACCATACCTGTTGGAATTTGCTGCACTGAAATTTGCTCTAGATCAGTTCTCGGACATTATCTGGGGGTCACCAGTAGAGATTGAGACTGACTGCCAAGCTCTAAGGGACACTCTACTAAGCCCAAAACTAAGCATGGTGCACGCTCACTGGAGGGATGGAATACTGGTGTATCACATTGTGGACGTCCATCATCGACCAGGAGCAACGAACACAGCGGCTGATGGACTTAGCCGAAGCTTCGTGACAAGAGATCCCACACCAGGAGATGGAGCTGAATGGACCATAAATGAGGACTGGGAAGCAGCGAGAGGAATCATGCAAGACTTATTCGAGGTAACATCATTGCAAACCACGTCAGGTTCTAACGACTCGGTCATAGCCAATCTACATATCAGGTTCCAACAGGAACCTCTATTCCTAGATGTCGTTGAAGCTTTATACGACCTCGACTCTGAGAAACCAGTCGCTGTCAAACAAAGAGCACATCACTGAGCTAAACAGTTTTTCATTGCAGATAACAAACTATGGAAAGTACCTAACGACTCCTCCGCTAGGGTCCGCAGCAAGTTAGAATGTGTCACACAGGATGAGGCAATTGAGCTCGCATGCAACGAGCATGCAGAACACGGGCACTGGGGATGCGACATGACGAAGCTTCAACTTATCGACTGAATCTGTAGCCTGCATCTGGATCGCTCAATCACCAAGGCCATCTTGGAATGTGGACAATGCAAAAACTTCGGAGCAATGCACCTGAATTCACTACTTGAACCAATAGTCAGACGACACCCATTTGAGCTTTTTGTCGCTGACTATTTAGCAATGCCGAAATCAAAAGGGGGTTTTACTAACATTCTTTTAATTATTGATACGTACTCACAATTTGTTTGGGGATTTAAGCTCAAAACGCACGGAACAGCAAAGACAACGACCACGGGACTTGAGAAGATATGACACAAGTTCAACACACCGGAAACACTCATGACAGACAGTGGGAAACATTTCGACAATGCAGAGGTTCAAGCTTGGTGCGACGGGCATGGCACAAAACACTACGTCACCGCGGCCTATGCGCCTTGGGTAAACGGGCTAGTGGAAGGTACTAACAGACTACTATTAGGAAGACTAAAGTACATGTGCACGCCCCATCTCAGAGAAGACAACAGCATGATCGTAGACCCCGAATCTGTTTCCACCAAGTGGTCAGACCACTTTGAAACAGCGATCGAACACCTCAACAGCCGTGTTCTACCCTCGTTCCAGTTTTCGCCCAAGGAATTGTTACTAGGTCTTGTCGTCAACACCCCTCACACCCCGCTCAAAGATACAATGAATTCCATCGCTCCACAAGATGTTTACGTCCACTCTGCTTATGTGGCACAGCAACACCTAGATGCATTTGGCAATGCAGTAGCCAATGCTATGAAATGAAAGGCAGCCTTCGACAAAAGAGTCCTGTCGTCACACCAAGGTGAGGTATCATTCAGTCCTGGACAACTTGTTCAAGCATACACTAGCGATATTGACAATAACTTCAAATCATCTCGCAAAATCATTCCGCGCTGGTCAGCCCCGCATCGAATCGTCACCAAACGCACCAACTCCTATTTGCTAGAAACCTTGGAAGGGTTCCCTATGCCAGGATGGTATCATGCACAACGTCTGCGCATGTTTGTGCCTCGAACAGGCATCCTACTGGTGGAGATAGAGAACGAGAAGATTGGTGAAGCTAGTGTTGTAGGTACTATGTAGTGAGGAGGTCAGCGACCCCGGAGCGTCGCATTTTTTAGAGGGGGGTATCTGTGTTAGGATGTTTGGCACCAGGGGCTTCCTAGGGGCCATTCTTAGTTAGGGATTCAGGGTTCTGGAGGTCTCGGACCCAGTTGGCAGAGCATTTAGAGTAGCAGTTTCCCAGGGTAGACACACATTCCAACCATCACCTGTTTGGCACCCAGTGTCGAGGTGTAGCCTCTCCAGTGTATTCCGAACCTGCAGTGGCTCCACGACCGTTGCCACGCACACTAGGCTCACATCGCTATGGACTCCCCGATGCACATGTGCATGCGCCGCATCACAACGATGGTGGTCAAACAGTAGATCAGGAGTTCATAGTGTATGCCACGGCTACTCTTAGTCCCCAGGGAACAGGTATACTCACGTTTTGGAATGTGAGTCCATTGCCTCTTCAAGTCACGCCCTTTGTCATTAACTACGAGTTTCTGACCAGGCTTCATGGGCCATTTTCCCAACCATATACTCAATTGCCATGGACTATGCCCCGGTACAAGCTTCTGCTGTGCCATGTGAGCGGGTATTTTCATCAAGTAGCAAAACCCATACGAAAAAAAGGAATCGCCTCAGCCCCGTTTTGATGGAAGCATTACAGATGGTCAAGTTTTTCCTGGAGAAAGAATGTCTTGACTTCACCAAAGGTTGGGCAGCCTCTCAACAGGACATGGAACATGGGATGGTATATGACAGAGGTTCTAATGAGCATTTGACTCCTACTGCTAGCACAAATGACGCTCTTCTCAGAGCCATTGCAGAGGAGGAGTGTGACAACACCGAGGACACTGCTACCATCTACGACAAGTGGGACTTTATTTTTCTTGTCTGACTTTTATTTCTTGCTGTTTGCTGTTTACCATTTACCATTTACCATCTGCCATTTACCTTTCGTCTTTCACCTCTTGTTTACACTATCTTTGCTCGTTATACTGATCTCAATGCTTAACTCATTTCATGCGCTTCTGCATGATCACTTTCAACCTTGCTTGCCTACCTGAGTGCATTGACCTTCCTTCGAGCTCGGGCCATGCTGATCCTCCTTCGAGTCCGTACCATGCTGATGCACACTAGTACCTGCCAGACTCCCCTTATCCCAAGGTCTGATCAGCCGTATCCAACACTGACGACATGTCCACACCCGTTAGCACTTTCTGCACATGGGTTATGGGTGAGTCCAGAATCTTTTGCTACACGTCATGTAGCTCATTACAACTCAGGCTTTTTCTGGGTTATCATCATCCCTGGTTTGAACCAGTTCTTTTATTTTTGATATCCCTCCGTCAACCTCACCAACATGGTCACCCAATTGTTGTCATTCCCCATGGGTCATCTTTGGGCATGCTAAGCATCATTCTGTTGGCGTGTCATCACAAGCTACTATGCTGTGAATCTGTAAGTTTTTTCAAGTGTTATAAATGTTTAGTGTCACGCTGATGTGTGTTATCAGCGGAAAGAATTTTTCAAGTCCCTTCTGGGCGCATTCCTGCTGGTGTCTACATATCCATCAATGTCGACTCTTGGAGACGCTGGAAATCAGCCATCAGTCTCATATCGTCTGATGAATCTGTAGTGTGGGGGAATCCTGTCACTCTGTGAAGTCCTTGGACGCTACTTGCAACCTCATGCTAACCACGCACACTAGCAGTCTTCAGTGTCTTGCACTTCTGGATGACAATATTAATAAGATAATGTTTTGAGATCTTACATGGATCGCATACAGGTGTGTTGTCCGTCTCTTTTCTTTTATGATCAAGTGATCTTACTGATTTGTATCCATTTGCACATGTGAACGTTTATTCGCACTCGCGTCTATCACCTGCTTGTGCATGTTGGAATCTCAGTGAGTTTTCTTTCATGATCTGCATCTTATATTTTTTAAATGTCTAATTTAATCACATTTGTAGGTATTATCCATGGGTAAGGGTACGAGTGCGCCATGCCCAGCAAAAGTCCGTACCTATTGGAGCGGGTATGCATGTGGGTATCACACACGGTGCCCGTGGGTTTACCGTGCAATTCCCTAAACCTGGGTAAGACAGTGTGGCTGGTTGACTTAAAAATCATCATTCCTCCACGAGGTAAAGTGACCTCCGCCACCAGGTTTACAGAAATTATTTTGTATGACATGCTAGTCTGTTCACAAGTTCACTGATGTGCAAGTCCCGACTTCGCAATATATAAGCTTGATCCTCCAAAGGGATCCTCACCCAAGTTATTTTCCTCGTGTATACAGGGCCTGTCAAGTAGTAACTTAGAGCTACTTCCCCTCTGAGTCCTGCATCATGTCCGTTGCCACAAAAGCATCCTATCTCTCTTCAACCACATGTCCCACAAGGACGGTTGTCGTCTTGGGTGGTTCCTATGGAGGTGGGTTCAATGAGTGGCATTGAAATTAATCTTCCCTAACCCTCCCTCAATCACCATCTAGGCTCAAGAGCTGTTCAACGCCTGCTACTGGGTCTGCTCAGACCCCCCATGAAGCATTGAATGAGTGTAAGCTGTATTTTGTCCGTTTTGTGCTTTCTGACTGACATGTGTGAGGTAGTAAGACCCTTGTCGCAATTGAGCAGAGGAGTCAAGCGCAAGCAAGGCGGCAACAATGAAGATCGGACTGAAGAGGATGACCCGGCAAAACCCCCTCCTATCGTCCAGAACGGCCTCTACATTGCAGAGATGTTCATGGCTCACATCATGCGGCAACACATCATCTCCTTTATAGTGAACAGTAAGTTGATGGGATGCTGTTAACCTGGCATTAAACTGACGACGCCTTCCAGACAATTATATTTACATCTGGTTTTGTGATCGCGAAACTACGATTCAAGGCACTGCCATCAACTTCGTTCAGGACCTTCCATGCTGGTTGGTCTTACTTCTCATCATGCAGCAGATGGGATACAAAAGTTCTTGCAGAGGGTCTGCTGCAGGGTTGGAGAGTTGTTTTGATAGATAGAAACTCGTGTGTTGCCCCAGTTTCGGATCCAATGGATGTGTTCCATTAACCTCTGATGTCCCTCAGGCATAGGAATCGTGAGAGCTTTGCTACTTTCGAACTGTGAAGAAGATTCATTCTTTATTTTAGATTTTTACAACTTTTCTAGATATGCTGTTCTTCCAGGTCACGAACATAATGCATGTAAGTGTGCACTCGATCATCATGCTCCACTCTGGACAGACACTGACTTTGCCCCTATTAGTTATTCCATACAAGAACTTCCCTTCTTGTTCTCTGTTGGATATTTCTTCATGTTCATCTCATGTTCGGGTGCCATCGACATGATTCATTCAGTGAGTGATTCGCTTCTCGTTCATCCACACACGCTAACGTCCTGTAGATATATCCCTCCCACCTGTGCGCGGTGTCCACCCTTCCCTGAAGCTGAAGGCCACCATTGTACACACTTGCAACTATCAGGATGATGCACTGTTTGATGTGAGTGACACTGGTATCTGTCCATTGGCTTTTGCTGACAGAATGCAAATTGCAGTCCCTCGTAGACTGCAAGATTGCACGAGACACAGATGCGGCCCATGCACAAATTGTCAAATATGTGAGACGCAAGACAGTCTCTCACCTGAAATGTGCTGTAGACAATTTTCAGTTGGTTTTGGACCAGTGTCCGGTCAGCCATCCAGACCATGCAATGGCTCTCACCAACCTCGTGTGGGCCCGCCGATGCAACAATATTCCAATAGACACATCTGATGAGGGCATCCACCTTCGACAAGTCATCCTTGAACTCTGTCCTCTGGGCCATCGACTCCGTGAGCCTTCAAGGACACGGCTTTTGCAACACATGCATTGAAGACCTTTTCCAAACTGGATCTCCACCTTTCAAATGTCCCACTTGTCGCAAGCGTACCCAGCGCAAGGATGCATTTCAAATATTCTTAAACCCTCACCAATCGCTCACACAACCTAGCACACAATCTCCACGTTGAGATTCGGGTATCGATATTGATTTTACACTTCCTGACAACCTGGATTCGACTATGGGGTGCGTCTCTAGCCCCTGCAAGAAAACACGTGAAAAACGGCAGAACTACAACACTTGAATAAGCATTTGGAGCAGTCCCTTTTATAGTACTGAGTGCATGAGGATGGGATGCTAACATTTATATACATGTAGCCGGTAACTGATATTCTCACTAGATATCTTCCTGAGCGCGCACTTCGCCAGTCCCATCTTCCTTCAAAACCACACCAAGCCACTTCTTCAACATCATAGCGAGCCTCTTCAACAGTGCACCAACCCGTGTCTTCATCCTCCATTCGACAATGTCTATGGCAGCCTCGGTCTCCACAGCATCAGTGGCAGCCTCAGTCTCCACAGCATCTACTGCAGCCTCCATCTCCATGACATCTACTCGCGCCTTCACCTCCAGTTGCCTTCAAAAGTCCCTCATTTTTCTTCTAACCTCTGCTTGCTCTGCTTTAAACTTGTGAGCGCTCTCAAGACTGCAGTACAGCTATTTTGACTTAGCTTTTTGAACATCGGATTTGAAGACGACTTACATTGCCTTGAGGACCCATCTCGATTTGCGATTAATGCTGATTGTCGATATCTGATAGATGCTGATTGTCAATAGCTGATAGATGTGTTCGATGATGATCGTAGAGTATGTATGTAGTATGGTAGGTGGGGATCATTGAATCTCAAGACTGTTTCCTTTTTGGGCATTTGACCTGAAGTTAATGTATTTATAATTAAGCTCAAATTTATATATATGTATATTCTAATTTTAAATCTGGCTCAAGCTGACTTAGAGACTGCGAACACAGCTCATGGACCAAACCAAGCCATGAATTACATAAGCTATAAGTAGGTACATGGCTCGGCTAACTATGGCTGCGCCCACAGCTAAAGCCGGAATAAGCCGGAACTGCGGCAACACTATGCAACACTGTAACAAATTCTAGGGTATAGATCATGTTCAAACAACTTCAACATATGTTATTCCAAACACTTTGAATTCTCGTTAATGATCAACATATGAGTGTCTGCCTGCGTACAGGCTCTATAATGCTGTGTTTCCTTCTCTCCAAATTTACAGTGCTTGTCCTTTGCATCCACACTACTAGTATGCATCTTGCGTGTCAGTCCTGTGTTGTTGTATTACCTCTAATTCGTTCATGTATGTTAATTTTCAGATGCAGTGTCAAGCATTGTCTCATTGCATCAAGCCTCCACCTCACCCTGTCAAGTTCAATCCACTCTCTATACTCTGCACCACCACATCAAGCCCCAACTATGGCATGTCAAATGCCTCGTTTAGGCTAGGTCAAGCACCACTCACAGCATCAGAAAAACCACTGGTTACTTATCTCACTTTTTGTTCCTTAAATTCTCTCGGAATGTGACTTTTCCGACTTAATGCACTTTCTGGAAAGAAAATTCAGAGTTCACAAGTTGGGACCATTCAAAAAAGCTCAAAAAGCAGAAAAAGTTTTGTAAGCACAATAAGTGGGGTACACGTAGTACTACCAGTACTACTACTAAGTCCAAGTCCAAGTCACCTGTCAGCGCTTGCTGAAAAATCACCACAGACCACGCAGATGCAGATTTCGTCACCTCAAATGATGACCTCATCACCTGTACCTGCAACAGCAGAGCCATAGTCATCCTGACTTGGAGGGGACGGCATGAGACATGTGTTCTCATATCATTGTCGAAGTAGAGGTGAGAAGGGGGATATATTCTATGATAGCCTGTCTGACGTGTCATAGCTTAGCCTCTGCAAACTCGATGATGGAGTTAGGTCTGAGTATTGCAATAAGCACTATGGAGACTCACCTAATGTGCAGAAGTTGCGCCCACCAAACTCATCAATTGAGTAATCTGCTCAAGCTCGTCCTAGATCTGAAGTGCTTGCTGAAAAATCGCCACAGATCACGCAGATGATGACCCCATCACCTGTACCCACAACAGCAGAGCCATAGTCATCCTGACTCGGAGGGGACAGCATGAGACATGTGTTTTCATGTTTTTGTTGAAGTACAGTTGAGAAGGGAGATATATTCTATGATAGCCTGTCTGACGCGCCATGGCTTAGCCTCTGCAAACTTAATGATGCAGTAATTAGACCACATATGCAAGTAGCGGACAGAATGAACTTACGAGAGCGAGAAGACCAAAACACCTAGGACGCGATCTCAAAAGCATGATGGTCTGCAAACTTGTTCAGATAGAATGCTTGAAAAGCGTCATATGAGTCATAGTGCTTGATGTCGCATGAAATGATCTGTGCTCCATAGATTGGAATGAGGTGTGCGGCATGGTAAATAGAATCAATATGGATGATTCCAACAGAAAAAGAATGGTCAGTATCAAACAAAGGTGTCACAATCCACATCCCAGTGTCCTGGTCAGGTCTGTCACTGGCTTTGTCAAACCAGTGCACCACAGCGCACGGATACGAAACTCCATTGAATGTGAAAGAAAAAAAACACATTACACATGCTATCTCCATGCCCCCCATCCCTTCAACACTTGCATCTGTGTTAAAAAACACACAGTCATACTGGGGCGCCTCGTTTCTCCACATAGGACAGGCACGAATATGCTCATGGCGCATACCACCAATTCCACTGCAGTTGCTGGGTGCATAGAATGTTGAAGATGCAGAATTGAAGACTTGGATGTTGCCATCAAATCGAGGACATCTCGAAAGCCGGACTTCAGAGGGAGGGCACTGGTTGTCTGGGTACACTTGTTCGAATAGGAAGCGGTGGAGGATATTGTAGAGATTGGGGATAGAGAGTTCCATGGATAGCTCGGGTATAGTGCATGCACATTTTTCTGCGATTCTATTAGAAAAGTGTTCACTGTAAAATATGAAATAGCTTACAATGGGTCTTTGCCAACTGAACGTGAGCCTGCACCAGTGTTGGGCCATTGTCAATTTCGCCATCTTCATTATCACCCTGTATAGTAACATCAGCATTGAAGAGTACTGGCACTGTGGCACTATTCTCGTTGGGTTGGCTGGCATCAGGCGTCTTATTTAAGTGCAAATGCTCTAGTGTAAATTTAAGCCAACAATAAAGATGTAACTTGTTATAAAACTTACTTAATGCCTTGAGTGTCACAGACAGACAGGTGCCATTCAACATCCCGTGGTTCTTGAAATCAATGAGTGCTGCTGCAAGCTTAACGAGGCGCTGGTTTGTCACCAACATCTGACCAAGGGCTTTGTAGCGACTTGAGCGCCTCCATGGCTCCTTGACAGCTTTGATGTGTTTCATCTCGGTGATTGAGGAGCAAAGGCCATTGGGCGCACCAAAAAGTCGGATAAGGAGGATATAGTGGGAACAAGAGTGTTGCCGAGGGGGAGAGAACATGAAGACAACACCCATAGATTCGAATATCTGCCTGTAATGATGGAATCGGTCAAGAGCCTCCTGAATTTGACCTAAAGTAGATTCTGTAATGATGTTGCGCCATATGAGATAGCAAAATTCGAGAAATGCACGAAACATGCGCACCACATCTGTTGGGACATGACCTTCGATGGCAGGTAAATAAACCTGAACTATTGTTAGCCGAGTTGCGATATCCTAGTTAATGTGATAGTGAACTAACCTTCATGAGTGCTTTCAAATCGTCGCCCGTCCATTGTTTGAATCCCCGACCTTCTGGAAATCGTCGGAGACCTGCAAATGAAGCAACTGCAGCAATTCTTTTGATGACGTGAGCTTTCGAATCATCAACTCTAGACAAAGTGATGCACCTTTGATCTATATCAGCCTGAATTTTCTCTGCTTCTTTCGTACCATGGACGTGTTGCAGATACTGTCCAACCCACTTGACTAAGTGATCCTTGAAGGTTCCCTTAATCAATTGATGCAGGATATCTGGCACGATAAGTTCGTGAATATCGCCGCATGGAAAATTGTTTGTGAACGGCTAGAAAGGATTGAGTCTGGACTTTAATAGAAAAGATGCGCGAGACTTACAACAAGGTCGCCAACGATCCCATACTCCGTCCACAAAGCACCATAGGTTGCCTCTTCAACTAACACTTCTGTATGGTCACGACGACGACACAATGACTTTGTGTCTAAACTGTCAGGATGTGACATACACCTAGTAGTAGCAGTAAGGTAGAGGGATGTTGGAGATAATTTAAGAACATACCTTGGACACCAATCGAGCATTATGCACGCTAGTAGAACCTGCTCCTCGTAATCTGCAATGTATGGTCCAAGGCCATAAATTACATGCCGATAGTGTCTGTCACCGAAGTGTACAACCTCTGGTGTGGTCATGCCAGGCCTTAGATTCTCGAGAATCTTGGCGACAGATGAATGAAAGAGTTGCCGATGGAATTTCCGAAATTTTGGGTCTTTTGCATGCTCCTCTGTAGCTGCTTGACTGTAATTAGCGCAGAATGATAGTAGTAGCGTGAAACATACTTTTTGGCATAGCGAGGAAGCCAATGATGGCAACAGCATCACGATGTGCATGTCGGACATTATTACGAACATTCCTGATTGATACATACAAGGGATAGTAATCATTGGCACCAGTCGCCACTGAGACTGTTGTCTTGTCACTTCCGAGTACAACCGGCACAAATGTCGAGCCAAGTGTATCCGGATCTTCAGAAATAGTTTCCTACTGAAATTTTCAGCATAAGTAGCTACAGAAAACAATGAAAGACAATGTACCACTTGGTTCCATGCCCAGTCACCAGACATGAAGTCCTGCCATTGGTGTTCATTGCCATCAGTCGAATACTCATGGTAGGGCCAATAATCCATCTCTGTAGTGTAGTCCAGATTCCCCAACATGTTCCAAATAACCTCATGGGGGTCTCAGTACCAGACATCGTGGAATTGGTCCATCCAGGGTAGTACATTGGTTTTGGGCTTCTCCCCAGTGTACTGGACCTTGAGGGATTGCCATTTGACATCACCTACTGGCATAGCGTCAATAGTTTTATACAAATCGTGGTAGTCTGTTAAGACCATGCACAAAGGGTAGGACTGATTCTGAGGGGCTTGGCTTCAGCTCGTGTGCTGTGCCCCTTACCCGAGTATGTGCCCTTAATTTCAGATTGGTGTCCGAGGAAAGTCTGAAGACGTCCGAAGGACATCCGAAGGCGCGGGAAACTTTGGAAGGACTTTCTGGACAGGTGCAAGTAACTTCCGGATGAGTGGGGGAAAGTTCTGGAGGAACTTCCGGAAATTACGATGAGGTTTCATCCTGATACAGATATGTATAATGGCTACTCAGGACTTGTCCTGAGTAGAAGTAAACAAAGGAAAGGCTGCAAGGACAAAGTCCGAAGCAGAATAGGTCTGGAGGACCGCGGGAAAGATCCGGATGAACTTCCGGAAACTACAGAGGATCGGATGAGCGGATGAGCGGAGTATCGGATAAGCAGAGCTCCGGCCTAGGGAGAAACTCCCTAGGCCTGAGATGGATAACAACTAAGTTGGAAGACTAGAACTGATATGAGGACTTAGAGTGAAGACTAGTGCAAGGACTAATATGATATTCAGACTGAGGTACTACAAGACATATACACGAGTTTATATACTAAGAGAAATAACGGAAGGATTAATAAGCAGAGTCCGAGGCTATGTATGAAGCATATGCAAAGGTTGACAAATGCGAGTCGGAAATGAACATAGGTTAACGGATCAGTAAGCATACCGGTAATAGATATAACCGAGGTACCGGTAACAAGGAATACCGGATAGGCTGTGTTAACGTTATATGCACAGGAAATGAATTATGAAGCTTATCGTATATCGGATAGGAAACGGATCTATACATCGGATCGGACCAGATCGGATATGGTCTGGATGAGATGCGTGGATATATAGGATGTGGCATTAGGGCGATGGGACAAGGATGAATGATGCAGGCTAGCTGCGAAGGATAAGGGATCTGGACGTGGACATGCGGATGTGGATGTGCAGAGGTGCAGGGATCTGGATGGGTACTGGAGACATGGATAGCACATCCGAAGGTCCGGATGAGGCGTGGGAATATTATTGGATGTAGGTCCGGAATACGGGATATGACACAGTCTGCGAATGGAAGTTTGTCATTGTGTTTGAGGAGGGTTGCAGCCCAAAGATCCAATAAAGTATTGATGTCTCCGGCAGACATTTGGTTGCGCGTGTAAAGAAATTCCGCAGTCTCAAACTCAACACGATTTCGATATGGAGCCCAGTCATTGGGTGACTTGATTGGAGGTGGTGTTGGGGGCGCTCCATCTGCAAGGAATCGTCCTGTCACGTTGCAAGGACGAGCTTACAGTGGCTCAAAAAAGTGTCCCAATGTTTGTAGCTTTTCACGTAATTACTATATCATGAGTCAAGATGTGGAAATATGACTAAGCTATAGGAAGATGTTGGAAAGGTCTGCTTCTCAGCTTCATTTCTGTTCCCTATACCGTGGGAAAGTAATGACATTATGTGAAAATATGAGTATTTTAATTTGATGACTCATTGGGACACTTTTTGACTTTGAGTTTAACTAATGTAATCTCTATAATTCTAGTACTATGTAGTTGTAACTAGCTGGAAGTACTTTGTGAAACATACCATTTAGTTTGGGGTGATAGTTGTGGTATAATCTATCACCTGGCCCAAAAAATTCTGCATTCAAATCATCTGGAATGTCAGGCTCATCAAGTGCTGGACTTGGGTCAGATATACCCTCAGGAAAATTGTCACCGCCTGCAGAGATGTCATCATGACCTGCTGGAAAGTGGCCATCCAGTACTTCAGGCTGCTCTTCAACTGTAGTGGTGTGCGAGATGCTGGTGGTAGCAGGAGCTGGTCTGAATATCGGGTGTGAAGTGTTCCAATGTTTTTTGTGCCCTCCCTGAGTCTTGAAATGACGTGTGCAGTGTAAGTAACCACAAGGAAACTGGAGAGAACTGTGGTCCCTGCGAGCGATGGGCATCTTGACTGTAAAATAGAGTAAGACAGAGAACTTGAAGTGCCGAACACATGTACTAGTACTAGTTTGATACTATTAAACAATGACACCCCGATTACCACAGTCGGCGGCTGTTGGGGGTGGGACTTACAAGTTTTTTCTCAAATTGAAACCCTACTTTTATTTTTCCTCTTGCTCCTGCAAAGTCTTATCCCTTGCTGCCTCCCTCATCTGCACAGTCATGTCCACGACAGATGCTCCCCGCCGCACCCGCCCATCGACTGCAACTGCCCGACCTGCTAAGATATTGCTCGATGTGAAGATCAAGAGGCGGTCCCCAGCTCAAAAGGCTGCAGATGACCTTGTCATCAAAGAAGTGAGAGAAGCAAAAGAAGCAGCGCATCAAAAGGGGGTTGAGCGTGTTGCTGCTCTGCAGGCTGAGATGGAGAAAGCCCAGAAGGAATTACTGATGAAAAAGGTGACACCCATTCGGCCCAAGCCTAGGGCCAAGGCAATAAAGCCAAAAGCGGCTCAGACAAAGTCTGTAGTAGGAGACACTGGCGGTGGTGACAGTCCTGCTGATAGTGGTTTGTTGGAGGACCTAGTGTCAGAGACTGACGTTGCCAGGGATGTGGAGAATAAGGCTGCAGGAAGGGGGAAGAAGATGGTGACAAAGAAAGTCGCAAAGATGTCATTGATAAGGGACGCCATCAGCAATGTGCAAAAGAAGCTCAATGAATCATCCAAGTCAAAAGTGGAAGGTGATAATGCACATGCTGATGGGAAATCACTGTAAGGCTTTTGTCTCTCACATTACCATATTGCTCCTCACTGAATCGACTCTCTTTTTTCTAAACCTTACTTCCAGTATCAACACATCCACAAAACTTGCATTAGGTGGCCGAGTGACCAACTGGAGATCAGATGTCAAACCTGGAAATCCAGAGCAGGTGTCATGTCCATCCATTGACAGCACTTCAACTCGACCACCTCCGTCATCAATTTTCTCAGAGGGCACTGCTTCCTCCGCACTGACTTCAGTCGCTGAGCTTCTGACTAAGATTCCTGCAGCTTTGCCTCAAATTCCAGATGGTGTCCCAGACGATACCCTTACTGGCGCCTTTGCAGATGATATCAACGATTCATTGGAGCGTGAGGATGCTCTCTTGGGGACCAAGCAAAACAAGGGGAAATCCAAGGTACTATTGGCAGTGATTCATTGCCAGCATCCGAATCTACTAATTCCTTCTTTCACAGGTTGTCACGCTATATGAAGAGGACTATGATGTTGATGAGCCTGAGGCTCCGCTAGAAGCATTGGATGAGTCGGATGATGAGCTTATGGCTCCATTGACACAAGTATTACCAGAGGAGCGGTACTCACAGGAGCCTAAGGTGCCATTCACACAGGTAGACAATCTTATGCTCTTGAAGCAGAAAGCTAGCTTCCTAGACAATGAGGAGTCTTTGGTATCCCAGTGGTCCATGGAGATTGATGGTAATGCAGAACTCATAGAAGACGCAATCATGAGTTCTGATTCGGAGGCACCGCTCCCTGTCAAAACTAACACAGCGAAGAAGGAGAAGATTCTGTGTACAACATATTCGGTAAGGATTCTGGCCCTAATCGCACTCATTTCTGACAATGTACAGACATCCGTTACTGCATCTCAGGCTATTGTCGACAGCAAGCCACCGGCTCATAAAAAGGCTAAGGTCAAATCTTCCGCACTACGTGCCCATGGTGCTCCTGCTACCACACACCAGCAGAACACAGATACTGCACCAGACAACATCAAAGCATGCAGTGCCTATCGCACGGTTGACTTACCTGCAGCGATGCAAGCGGACCAGTGCTGGGCAAAGAATTTTATCCCTACCATAATGCTGTGGGCTGGAAGCTATGAAGATATCTGGAGTATCCCAGATGAGGTCCTTCTCCATCATGCGCAGCTTGTTTTTAATGCAGTGTACAATGATCTTGGCATAGTGATCGTTCATGGTGGAGTTATTCGTAAGCCAGCTGTTTTATTCTAGGTTTAGTGACCTGAACTATATCTATACAGACTGCACAGCGCATTTCAGAATGGCGCAGCAATTTTGGCTCCACAGGGCTAGTCATCATCATGGACTTCTTATCACAAAATTCCGATGTGAATCCTGTCGAACTGGTCAAATCTCTTCTTGTTGACTGGGCATTCTTGTTCGAGAACCCGGACAATCCATCTCCACTTACTGCATACTGCTCACCCTTTGTACTACAGTTATTTGGCACAGCACACCTCAATGCCATCATCGGGTATGTGGAGGTTCGCTCATTTGACATGCATGCACTTGCAACAAGCGGGATGTTACGGCCTCTTGCTCTTTCTGCTGCAGCAGTGAGTTCAATCCATAATGGCTTAATCATGCTCATTTTTTGTCAGATTGAGTGCACTATCACCATGATCGCAGATGGAGAACTCAAAGTTCGGGATGTTCTGTCATCCGCATCAAGAGGTTGGGTCAGCATCAGGCTACTGAAGGTCCTCAACAAAGTTACTGGGAAGGAGACCAACATTCCATTCTTATTTTTGGCAGCTCTCTGGCTTAAACCAACCAATTCATTCATCAAATCTCTGTTAGGCAAGCCCACTGGGTACCTCGAAACCACAGTACAGATGGTGTGTGCCACCTTGAATGATGTCACTGAAACACTGTTGGACTCGCTCAATGATGACGAGTCAGAGGATGACAAGCGTGCTATGATTTGTAAGTATTTATCATTCAGGCGCCCTCTCACTGACATCCATTGTTGCAGGATTGTGTTTTTGTTGCAGCACCTGCCAGTGCATGAATTTTGCTGTCCTGTGGTTGTTTTCTGCCGTATATCATGTTTTCCGCCAGCTCTGCTATCATGTTTTCTGCCACTGGCTGCTTTTTTGCCTGTATACCCACCTTTTTCCCCATTCCCCCAGTTCCTTATGTTACTGGGAGTCTCCTTAATTTTATGCTTATCACACTTTCTATGTATCCTCGTTATCCTGCTATCAAATGCTTTAACCACTTTTTCTGCTTATTTAAGTGAATTAAGTGGAAATCCAGACGATGAGTGGGCTTAATTAAGTGGCTCACGCTTTTTTACTTGATTGAGTTATGTGTCCCTTTTCATGTAATTAAGTGACAAATAAAGTAAAAAAAGCAACTGGTAGTTTTCCTGATGAGTTTGAGCAGACCAAAAAGGGGACAGTCAAAGTCTCAAAGAGGGCTGACTTGGACTTATAAAGAGATGTACTAGGGGAATTAACATATGCCGGGCATCTGGCAAGAAACACTATTGTATCACCTGTAGGCATACTTCAAGAAGTTATCGCAACAGCCACAGCCACGCTTGAAGAGCACGTGGGTTGGCTACAATGTTCAACACCCAGAAATTAAAAGCAAAACAGATCAAGCCTAGACAAACACAGACCAAATAGTTCATCACTGCAAGAGCTGAATGGATCACAAACTACATGTATTTACCCAATGTCAATCTCCATTACTAAGTTGCACGTCAACACACATGGTGCCAACCTGAGCATGATGAGTTCTAGGAAGGGTGGGAGCTGGGGACTTGGCATGTGAGCATCATTACCCATAAGTCTAGTCACCTCAGCCTTCACAAATATTTTTCTGAAGACATTACAGCAACATGCCGATCCTCTCCAGTGATACCGACCTACATTCCTAACATCATGGCCAGTATGGCTATGTATTAGTACCGACCGTCAGCCAGTGTCTGGTTCCAGGGTTTGAACGGCGTAGATATCTCGTCCCAGAGAGCGCTCAGAAAGTCCAATCTGGGTTGTACTATAGTCAGCATCTAACCAACAAAGGTTTCAGTTCAAAAGGCTGACCCTATCTGCAGAACTTACATGACACTAATGACTTAGTTGATCACGCTGGCAGTCTGGTAAGCATATCTGCCGGCCTATCACTCCATTTCAATGTTCATTGCAACTGGAAGCCCTTCAGACCTATTCCAGATACTGTCAAGTAGACAAACCAGATCGGTGATTATGTACCATATCGAGCTCTTATCAAAGCAGAAGCCGTTAGTTCACAAAGAAGCCGCACGACAAACACAATGTAGTAGGGAAGACATTTTGGTTAATTTTTTGATTAACCAATTTTTCTGATCTTTCATCAGGCCAACCCTACTAAGATAGGCCTCATTCATACTCTGGTTCATCATGTGACTTTAGTGTGAGATTTCACTGAATTCACCTGTAGCTCGCTGTACATGAAGTGTAATTGAAAATGGTTCCATGATTATGTGCATAGAGTATGTGGCAATACACCCATGTAATTTTTACGAGTTTAATCGAGAAAATAAGGAACAAGTAGGCATTACAGTTATCAATAGTGCTGCCATGGTCCGGTCCAGAACCATGGTTCAAACCGGACTTTTGGTCCAGTTCTCCATGGTTCAGTCCATGGTTCTCGCACCAGCCAGAACCAGACCGGAAAACAGTTCTTGGTTCTAGATCTTCCCAAATGGTCCAGTTCTGGTTTGACCTTCCCAAACCATTTCCGAACCCTGAACCCATTGTCGACTTCTACTTCAACTACATATAACAACGTCAAAGTGTTGTCTTCTGGATTTGCACTATTGGTTAATTAGGCTATCTTTAGCCTTTTTGAAGGTTAGTACTAATCAATCAAACTCTCATTTTTTAACTATCACAGGACACCTGTCTCACAAGATTTTTGAACCATGCTGATCCAAATCATTGCCCACCATTCGCAGTTTGTGAGTGTCGATCCTTGTTCGAGCTCAAGCCATGCTGATGACCACCACACTGTGTCCAATGCCACCAGCACCATGTGCAAATGCCCAACACACGCCAGCAAGTGCTGACGTAGCACGAACACTTGCAGACGACACCAGGGCGCCGGAGATGGGAATAGCATGAGAGGCAGCACTCATTCTCGCTCGCATGCAGCGCATGTAGACTCGACTCTGGATGGGGAGTTGCAGTGAGTGAGTCTGTCAATCCTCCTTCGAGCTCGAGCCATACTGATCCAAGTTGTTGCCCACCGTTCACAGTGAATAAGTGTGTCAATCCTCCTTTGACTCGAGCCATGCTGATCGAAGTCATTGTCTGCCGTTCGCTGCTGATCAAAGTCGTTGCCTGCCATTCGCAGTGTCTTAGTGAGTCCTTTTTACAATTGTTTTTTTTTCATGTTTCTAACTTAATATTTATATGTACTACCTGCAGGTAAATCTCACCCACCGTCTCTCACTCAGGATGCGCAGGTGTTTTCTTGCTGTTCTGAAATGATGCCATCCTCTGTCTAAACGTCCAGCATGCAGCCTTCATTGCCAAGAACTGCACCGTCCTCACTTCCTACTTTCATGTTCCTCCTGGCATGTCAGCATCTTCAGCAACTACAGAGGCAGAGATGGGTATGTAGCTATGTCATTGGAGTAGCTACTCGATGTGTAAAGTAGTATTTTAATGTATTTTTTTTGCGCTCACCACTGAAAATTTTTGGGTTCGGTTCGAGTTTGGACCAGAAAAAAACCGAACCGGACCACAGAGAACAGTTCTCTGTGGTCTGGTTTGGGGTTCGAAGATTTTGCAGAACCGGACCATGGACCGGTTCTCGGTTCTCATCCAGGACCCTCTGAACCGGACCGAACCGGACCACGGCAGCACTAGTTATCAAAAAGCTTAAATGTGCAAAATGAGTGACATCAGCACCACCCGCATACCAAGATGGGTTAGATAGAAATGAAGAAAAAGAAATTCAGCAAGCATCTTGAATGGTCAACCAACCTCAACATGCCATGGAAGCACCAGTGAATGGAAATGCTCTATACCGCTACCTATGTGTGATTGACTGAAGTAGCGCTGAGTGCTCCACCACTGATTGTGGCACTGTTCGACAGTCGTTCGACAGTCACAGATGGTCACCAAAGTCACAACGAGTCACAACAGCGCATCTGCCACCAAAATGCCTACTCCTCCTTTGATTGTCTGAAAATTGAAATTATAAGTAGAGCATTCTGATACTATAGCACATGCTTGCAAAGTTATGGAACAGTCTTCACTACTTGTACGTTGCTGCAGAGTTATGAGGCAAAGATGTGTTTTTGACCTCTTAGGTCACGTGATGAACCAGAGTATGAACGAGGCCTATCTTACCTTTGCAGTCTGACGCTGATGGTTACAGCCACCATTGGTAGTTAGATAAGCATGGTGCAGTTTGAGTTCTAATGTGAGCCTGCGAGCATAGAGCTCAAACTAGTGCTTACTAAGTGAGTGAGTGCCATAAGCCGTAACGCGTAATTATACGCGTACCTTGTCTTTATCCTTATTGCGCCCTCACTCGCTCACTTTTACTCAGTTGAGGATTTGGCTACATACATAATTTTCGTATTATTACCACTATTTCTATTTCTTCGACAGAGTTGCTGAACCCTGGGCATCCTGAAGGAGCCGGAGGGAAAGACATGGGAGCCTTCACCCGGCAAGGAGAAGGCCTGTTGTCAGATGAGTATGCATCTAGAATAGCGTCGTCCCTCGCGAGGAACAGCAACAAACGCGTGAATCTTCACGATCCAGACGCTGTAGAAGCAGAAAACACTGCGCGCACAGAGCGCAGTCTGACAAGAGCTCACTTAAGGATAGATGACAACCATATTGAAGATGTTTCGGACGACGAACCTCTGCTCGACGAAGCATTCTCCCCGGAGAAGGATTACACCACTAAACCCACTATTCCTGGTTACATTCTTGAAGCGGTGGACTTCATAGGGTTGTTAACACCCATCACGAAGAGTATTCTGGCCACGCTGACAACCAAAGGACAAGCGCCAGCTGCCACTGGTTCAACGGAAGCCTCCAGTTCTGGAGCCGCCTCTGATGCACCCGTCTTCACTGAAGTGAACGCGCACATTGTTGACGGTGAAGTAACCACCTTCGAAATTCCTCGCGTCCTCTTGAACCTCGCGAGGTCTAAGGTACACATCCCACTTACATTACTCACTCTGTCGTCTCTCCGCAAGATTCACGAGGACCCAGCTAGCATCAAGATGAAGAAAGGTCTGGTGACAGACGACCCAAAGTTATTCGTCATGGACACCTCTTCCGATTTCCCTCCGGAGTCGAGCTTACCACCTCATCTTTCTACAAAGCTGCCTCTAATTTTATCAGATTGCTCAGGCTGGTCACTGACGACGTGACGGTGAAGCGTTTCATGGACCACCGTGACTTCTGCCTTTCAAGGGATGAATTCGGAGACAATTTCGATTCAATCCTCGCCTTCGACGTGGAAATTCACAGGCACTTTTTCAACACGCATACTTTCCCTTCTCGAGCTGCTTACCTTGATAGATGGAAGAACATGTTAATCAAGACGTCTCTCTCTCAGCAAGGCTCGAGCAGCAATCGTTACCAACCCTACCCGTCCCATAAACCAGAAGGTTCATCATTCGACGGGCCCGTCGAACGACGGAAAGTGTTACGCACTCAAATAGATCTGTTATGCGGAGCCCTAAGAGGGGTGTCGTCCGCTAACATTCGTGACGTAACCGGAAGGGTCCGGTGTAGCGACTGAGACTGGCGACGACGAGTCGGCAGATATCAGAGACGCACGTGTCACATGACTTCTAAGACAGATGTCTTCGAGGTCACTGACGTTCTCAAGGTAAGGACAGTCTTGTCCGAACGATGAGTAGTCGATCAAGGTAGACTTAGGTGCGATGAGCACCTAAGAAAAGATACTAGAGACTGAAGCTGAGGGGGCTTCAGAGGGAAGTATGTTCTAGGGAAGATTGAGTAGATTCAAGTTAGGGAATCTAGTACAGGGTGACCGACTACTTATACTAAGTGGAAAGGGTTAAGGGCAAGGCTATTGTACTGTGGGTAAGGGCAAAGGGGAAACGGAAAGGGTATAGGTACGCTGGTAGCAGAGCCTAATTAGTGATGTGAGGTCGAATGCGGAATGAGACCGAGAAACGTTGGAATGGGCCAACGGTAAGTGATACAATGCGCAGCACACATGAGTCAAAGGAAAGATAAGACAAGATAAGGGAAGCCACATTGGTGGCACGGGTCAGAACAAGTCATAGCCCGAGGGCACATGCGCACGTTGGTGCGATAAGAGGGGGACGAGGGATGGGAACGGTCCCGAGGATCCGGTCAATGGATAGTCAGTAGAGAAGTACGAGCCAGAGGCATACGAGGGCGAGGATGATGGGGAAAAATGATAGGGGGGCCATGTAGCCGATGTTACTTGTAACAGAAAGTCCTTTCGGAGGGGCAAGGGAGACCAATCGTCCGAGCATCTCCTTTGCGTCATCTGTGGTAGACTCGGACACAGGGCCAGCAGTTGCACACACACGCACACTGCAAAGAACGCACCTGTTGTCAGTATGTGGACTGACAAACTCATCCTTAAGTCCTCTTCAGCCCCAATATGCATCTCCTTCAACATCGGAAGGTGTTCACCAACCAAGCACTCGAGTGACATCATCCATGTTTGTTCCATATGCGGGAGCAAGAGTCACGGAGCCAATTCAAAATCTTGCATCTGAAGTCTTACAGAAAATTGTAATGCCTTACGTCCCCAAAGCTTTCGACACTTTCTTGCAGCACTTCAACCTATCTGAAAAATATCCTGATATCATTTTCAACATGCAGCACGGCTTTCCCATCAGGAACATCCCACCCCCAACTCGCACTTACATTCCAAAAAATCATAAATCGGCTTTGGAGCACATCGACGTTATCCGCGCGTATTGCCATGAGGAAGTGGCCCTTGGAAGAATGTCAGGCCCATTCTCAACAGACGAAGTCTCTAAAATCCTTGGTGGACACTTTGTATCGTCTCCATTGGGCGTGGTAGAGAAAGCGGGAGAGCCAGGAAAATTCAGAGTCGTTCGAGACTTATCATATCAAAATTCTGATGGTTATTCAGTCAATGGCTTCTTGGATTCAGACGACTTCCCCACTGAATGGGGAACAGCAGCTCAAATCACTGAGATTGTTAGTATTCTCCCTGTCACGTTCACACGCTTAGACGCTTAGTTCCTCGCACGCCACGGTGTCTTGCTCTTGCACGCCTCGGCATCTTGCCCTTGCACGCTTCAGTGTCTTGCTATTTGCATGCTTCGGCATCTTGCACCTTGCACACTTCAACAATATTTCCTTCTTTGCACACTTTGGCGTTAGTTCTTCTTGTACCTTGACCGCATATATGCGCTTTTTGCACTCGTTCTGACCTCGTGTGACACACAGGTTGCCTCAGCTCCTCCAGGAATGCAAGCCGCCATGCTAGACATCGAGGCTGCTTACCATACTGTTCCCATGTGGCCTCCACATAAATGTTTCCTCGTAGTTGAAGTCGATGGGCAACTCTTCATAGATCACGTCTTCCCTTTCAGACTTGCTACAGCAGGAGGCGTCCAAGGTCACGTAGCTGACGCCACCGTGGACATCCTCCACTCGTTAGAACTCGGACCCATCAAAAAATGGGTTGACGATCACACCTTCTTCAGGTTCGCTATTAGCGGCAGCTTACTGCTGTCAGATGGTTCCTTGTCCCCATTTGTGTACAAACACAGCCTCGCGGACATTTACGTGCGTTAAAAGCCCTTAGGAATCCTGTGGCACCCAAAGAAGTGTTGTGATTTCACTTTTATCTTCATCTATCTGGGCTTTCTTTGGGACCTAATTCAAAGGTCCGTTGCACTTCCGGACGAGAAGCGGGTCAAATACCACAACAAGTTAATAGCTATACTTGACTTGCTGAACAAAGGATTCGGCATTTCATTCAAGGACACAATGAGTCTCAATGGTACCCTATCTCACGTCGCCTTTGTTATTCCACATGGTCGTGCTTACTTAGCCAACCTTTGTACCTTCATAACATCATTCCCTTCAGGCGCAAAATTCACCAAACATCATCCACCCCCATCAGTCAAGAACAACCTCAAATGGTGGTTCAACACACACTCTCTCCCATCCAGCGCTCGTAGCTTATCCCCATGAGGAGCGCTGAAGGACTTAGACCTGTGGGTCGACGTGTTGACGGACTGGGGCATAGGTATCGTTTTAGAGGGCAGATGGAATGCCTGGACTCTAGTCCAAGGCTGGAAAGGAAGCAGTAGGGACATAGGTTGGCTCGAAGCAATTGCTGTCGAGCTCACAGTGAGAACGTTGTTCAACCAAGGTGTAACGAACTCGACAATAATCATACATTCGGACAACCAAGGTGTTATCGGAGCCTTCAGACACGGACGTAGTAGGAACTTTCATGTCAACCTTTGCATTCGCCGTGTTGAGGCTCTTGCAATGGCTTCTAACATGCTTCACTTGCTCACATACACAGAATCAGCAAAGAACAAAGCAGACCCCATCTCACGCGGCGAGATTGGGTCTCTTTCTTCTTGTTTACCTTCCCCCAAGCTCCCAAGCGAGCTTGTTCCCTTCATCTTGCCCTATGTCCAGTAACCAAGGACACTTGGCATCGACACATGCCGATGCCGTTGTAGCTTTGGCCCTTTTGAAGAAGGCGTTGGCATCTCCTCCTTCGATTGGGGCACCGCCCACTGTTACACACCTTTGTAAAAAGCCAAGAAAACAAAAATCTGGAAACAAAATCTCCGCATCAGTCTTTCGCCCTCATATTCTTGTGTGTGACCGCTTACGTCTATGGTCCGCACCACACTCAGACTCCTTCCACCTTTCAGCCTTAAAACAATTGCCTCTAAACGACATATTACAGCTTTTTGGTGTCATGTTAGTATCCATTGAGACCAAAACTAGAGAAAATTACGGCGCCGGGCTACTTCATTTTCACCAATATTGTGACTCGAGACACATTCCTGAGGCTCGCCGCATGCCAGCATCAGATTTTCTACTCGCATCTTTTATTGCCTCTTGGGCCGGAAAGGTAGCCGCAACCACAGCACAAAACTGGTTGGCCGGACTACACTTCTGGCATAATCTTCACGGTGCTCCATGGTTTGGACATAGCATCCTTCATTCAGCTTCCGCTGGTCTCAGAAACCTTGTTCCAGACTCATTGAAACGACCCCGTCGTCCCCCGGTTACCTTAGAACATATGCACGCACTGTTTCATGGTCTTGATCTCTCCAACACATTTGACGTGTCTGTCTTCGCTGTCGCATGCACAGCCTTTTGGTCTTGCTGCAGGTACATATACTATCAAATTATTGGAGTTAGAATGCTCAAATATTTGAAGACTCGGCGAACTTATTGTTGTTAGTTCCAACATTTTTGACCCTTCTCGTCATGTCACTCGTTCCGCTCCCTTTGCTCGCTGTTCACCATCAGACGGAACCAAATACTCCGTTCTTCACATTCCCTGGATGAAGACTTCGCATGTGGAGGGAGCCGACGCTATTTTATCCAATCTTGACAACATAATGAATGCATTCACGGCTGTTGACCATCATCTTGCCGCCAACACGGACGTTCCATCTAACGCACCCTTCGCATATGAAACTGCGGACGGCAAATGGGCCACAATGACAAAGCCGTGGTTTCTGGCATGATGCAATCAAATCTGGAAGGCAGCCAACTTATTAGAACTGACAGGGCACTGTTTTCGCATCAGTGGAGCTACTGAACTACTCCTACGTGGAGTCCCACCCGATGTTGTCGTGGTTCAAGGCTGCTGGAAGTCACGGTGGACTAGGACAAAAGCAGTGAGGGGAGAACTCGATGATGCGTGATGTCGTTCTACACTATGAACAGAGTTTGGCTATGTGCGCATGTCGCTGACTAAGCTATGGCTATCGCCGAAGGACCAACTGCCTCTTGTCTATGTCTCTTCCCTTAATCTATGCCTTGGGACCCCCGGTCCATGCACCCCCCTAAAAAACAACCAACGCCGTCCTCGGCGTTCTTCCTACTATCACTTCTGTTGTCTTATTTGTTCTCTTCTTCATCCACTTCGTCTCTTGTTTGGTTTTCTCTTTCTTCTTCATGTCCCTTCTGTTTCTCTGATTCTTTCTCCATTCTATCTTCTGTATCTGCTTCCGTGTCGTTGTCTCCTCTCTCTCTGATTCTGTGTTCATGCTCTTCTTGTTCTCTTGCCAACTTCATTCCCGTTTCTCGGGGTAAATGCTCTGAGTCGTCTTGCACTAAACTCTCCTTGAACTGGGATTCCATTCAGCGCTTCAAGCTTGTACGAGTTTAGGATCTTCTCTTGTATATGCCTTAAGATTGACCACTTTGGTATGAGCTTTCATTCCGCTTTGAACGTATAATCTAAATCATTGCGATATACTTGAACTAGCTGTCTGGTTCGAAATATAACCTCACCTGGCGCGCGTTGCAGCAGCTTTTTATCAAATGCTGCCTTCCTCTTGATTGCATGTCGCACTACTTCATCATATCTGTCCAACCATTGTTGTTCGACATATGCTATTTGAGTTAGTGGGTCTGAAGTGCGTGTCGCTGACGCGCTTTCTTCTATACTTGTCTTTGGCGTGTTGACTACTAATCCTAAAAGAAGTTCTTTTGGAGAAAATTTCAGCGCTGGCAATAATCGATAGTTAAGAGCGTGCACCGCATCCTCTAGATGATCTGGCCACGATTGTGTCAAGCCGCTTTCTGTCGTCTTTTGTCCTTGACTTTGATCTTCTCCTAAACTTGGTGCGCATAAGCATTTTAATATGTGTAGTAAAAGCTTATTTGTTCCTTCCACAAGGCCATTGATCCATGGGGAGTATGCCGCTATGGTGTGTACTTTGCATTTCTTCGATTCACAGAAGTCCTTCACTGCTTCGTTGTTAAAGTGCTTGCCGCCGTCTGCCATGAATGTTTCCGGTGCTGTGAATGTGTTGAAGATGTTCCTGAGTCCTTCAATCGTCGTTTTTGCACTACCTGATGTTTTATATTTAAACACCCAGATATGCTGCAAAAATGTGTCCAAGTACACGCCGAGCATATTGTATCCTCCTTTCCCTTTCGAGAGGGTGAGATAGTCTCCAACTAACAGTTTGAATGGGTGCCGCCTGGTTATTGGCTCGAGTAGCGAATTTATGTGCGTCGGTCCGAAATTCTTGCATTTTGCGCAGTCTTTGATGGCATCTAGGATTGACGTGTCTAGCTTGGGGCTGCATATTCGGTCCAGTAGGGCGATCTTGATCGCATCTCATCCCCAGTGGCCTCCTTCTGCATGCTCTTGTGCTGCTAGTACCTTGGCTTCTCCTCTCGAGACACATTCTACTCTCGTCCTGGCTCTCGTCGTTGTGCCGCCTCGTAGCTTCCAGAGCCTCCCTTCTTCTATGATGTACTGTTCTGCTCTGTGTCTTGCTCGCCGTTTCTCTCTGATCTCTGTGGCTTGATCTAGGTTACATATAGCTTCTACGACTTCCTTGAATACCAGCTCGTTCTCAAATTGTGTGCGAAGCTTGTCTACTTGTGCATCCACCGTCATAACATTCATGATGTCGTTAATCAGTCCTATCCTTGCTTCCCAGTCTTCACTTACCGTCCATTCATTTCCGTCTCCCGCTACTGGAGCGGTGTTTTCCCATTTTCTGCTAAGGCCATCAGCAACGACATTCAGCTTTCCTGGTACGTGCCTTATGTCCACTATATGATACACTAATATTCCCTCTCTCCATCTTGCGTGTACTACGTTCAGATGCGGATTCAGCAGCGTGTCTCTCATCACCCTGCAGTCTGTTTCAATCTCGACCGGAAAGCCCCAGATGATGCTCGAGAATTTATCCAACCCGAATTTGAGCGCTGCGAATTCTAGTAAGTACGATTCATACTTCTTTTCTGTCGCTGATGTCCGTTTTGATGCAAAGCCTAGAGGATATAGACACTCGACCCATTTCCCTGCTGATGTTCATGTCTTGATTCTCTGTGCTTCGTTGATATTGAAAGTACCCTCTTCCTTCGATGTAGAACGCTAAATATGGACACCACTTCTCCGGCACTTCTATTGCATAATACCCTGCTGCGAAGTCAAAAATTGAGATGTAATGTTGACCACTTAACCTCTGTTGCTTTGCTAATATATCCCCTTGCGGCATTGGGACTACTTCCATTACCTTGTTAAGCTGCGCGAAATTCTGACAGATCCTCCATTTTTTCGGTCCTTTTTCTCTTGTTTCTTCTAAGGTGGGATTCAGTATCTCTCGTGGTGGTAGCTCATAGGCTGGTTGTAGTCCCGCTGCTCTATGCTGGTCATTGATTCGTTGTTTTAGTTCATCCCATGGTAGACCGCCTGTTTCATGTGCTCTTTGAGCTATAACCGTGGTCGCTACACATTTAATCAGTTCTGGGGATGCTCTCTCTACTATACCTGCTTCCAACATGTCCATTACCCGCTCGTTGTAGAACTTCGCTTGTTCAGGCATTAGAGGGCATTGATGTATCCGTAAGTTGAATGTTGCATTATCTGGTACGTTTAAATTCAGCTCTGCTCCAGGAATAGGGACTACTTCTCTTAGCGTCAGTGCAAAACTGTCTGTGTTTTCCGCTATAAACCGTTCTAACTCCTCTTTCTCATCTACTGTCAGGTCATTCCTGAACGTGATCTGTCGGAGAATTTCTTTGACTCTTGCGGGATTAAATGGATTCGTTTGTCTTGAGTATATCGATGTATCGTTCCTTATCGGTTCTAACTCTGGGAGTTCTTCTAATAGTTGTTCTCCTCCTTCGTCTGGTCCTTCTTGTGCGTTTAATATGTTGATGCTTGTTGTTCCCTCTGTCAGATTATGCGTGTCAGTGCTTGATTGTTCTCTCGATATTCGGGCTGCTGTCACTCCCTTTGATGTGTTTTTCTCCTTCTCTGCTGTTCTTTCTTTTGACGTGTTCTCTCTCTTCCTTCTGACCCAGTATCCTGTCGGCTTCCACTGGCCCATTGGGATGTTTGACGGTTTTGTTTTGTTCTCTAATGTCCTTTGTTGCTTCTTGTCTAGCGTGAGGCTGATTGCATCTGCTCTCTGTAACATCCGCTTGTCCGCTATCTGGTTTTCTATTGCGACTGTTTTGATTCCGTCGGTTATCACGATCGTGTCCGTTTTGTATTCGTGAATTGCTGTGAATGCTTGAAGTGTCGGTTTTCCTAGTAGGAAGCCCCAGCTTCTGCCACTGTCAAAGACTTCAAATGTGCTCCGCACTCCGACTTCTTCAATTCTAATCATTCCCATCCACTTTGTGATTGCCTTGACTATATTTCCATTTGCCATCCTTAATCGTTTGTCTGATGCGCTCCAGTTTCCCAATCTGTGCTTGATCTTCTTGAAGATCGACGTGCACATTGCACTGGTCATTGCGCCGTGATCGAATATCGCTCGTACTCTGACTCTTTCTCCTTGTGGACCTTCTAGCTCTATTCGGTGAGTGAACGGAACTGCCTCTCCATTTTTTAACTGAGCTCTTGTGACGACCGGGTGTCCAACCAAATACAAGTCATCGGTTTCGATTGCGTCGTGAAGTTCGGTAGTACATGCGATATCCTTAGCTACGCGCTCAGCAGAAACTTTGGGGCTAATGGTCCTAAGGTTGTCCTCGCATGTTGCCTCTTCGCATGCGAGGACTTCAACTCCAGCCTGAATGTGTTTGAGACTTTGGGTCGACGTAATGTTCTTCTTTACGTCGACCCATCCACTTTTCCCTGTTGTTCGGGAATCTCTTCGATCCATGCTTCTAACTGTGTCTCCTCGTAACCGTTACTCATGACTAGTGATATCGGTGTGGCCATTGCTCTGTTGTATGCGCCCAATGTCTTGCTCACAATTGCTCTCCACGCTGCTTCTTTGCACATTAGCCTCTCTTCGTGGTTCGGTGGTAACGGGCAATCCCATCCGTTGTGTCCATGTGTCCCGCATGCAAAGCATTCACTGGATGTGATGGCTGCTGTGCCCGGCTTTAGCAGGTATCCTGTTTCTTGCGTGACTCTCGCGTTCTCTCCCCATCTCGTGTTCCACTGTGCGAGCTGCACTATGTATGCTGCTTTTCCTGCTGCGCTATCCAGGTGTTGTGGCATCGTTTGAACTAACTGCCTGACCATTGTTTTCATCTCCTCCGTTACTACCAACGGCTGTTGCATTGTGGCTGGTTGCCGATTATACATTGGTTGTGCGTTCTGATGATTGGTTGTTGCTGGTACCCGGTTATATGCATTGTTCGCTGCCGGAAGAGTTGGTGGTGTCATGGGGTTAATCGACATTCTATTGAACTGACTTTGTAATGCTGCGATTGGGTTTTGCTGGGGTGCTCGTGTCTGGATGTGAGCTAGGTCTGCTCATAGCGCTTTGAGCTCGTGGGATTGCTTGAGGTATTGTTCTTGTTTTTCTACAAGCCGACTTCCCTTGAGCTCTGTCACCGCTTTCGTGAACTCCTCCCACTTGATATATTCTTCGTCTTTCAATAGATCCTTTATGATGTCCGGCAGTTTACTGCGGACTTGCCATATCATCAATGTGCTCTGTTCAATTCCTGCATCCGTTGCGAGCTGAAGCGTCTTCATCGCCCATGCTACATGCGTCCAGCATTCCCTATCGTAGAGCGTCTTCTTTTTTCCTAT